GTGCCCGTGCTCCGGGGGTGGTACCCGCAGAACGGCGCGGGGCTGGCGCTAGGAGCCGCGTCACCGAGCACACGCAGGAGCGGTCAGGACTGAAGGATGATGTTGCCTGATTTTAAAAGGCTGAGCTGTGCGAGCGTGATTTTTAATAGCTCTCGCGTTGAAGCGATGGAAGTCAGAAGTTCCTGAAACCAAGGCAGTGCTGATCTCAAACCAAGGGGGTTTTTTTAGTGCATCTGAAGTGCTAATCAAATTTTTTTTTTTTTAAATCAAATTTTTAAATTTTTTTTTTATTCCTTTTTTTTTTTAACATTTTGTACTGATAGTTCTGTTTTGACTTGGTGCTTAGATTCCACATCTGGTCACTGTGAAATCCCAAGGAAGCTCCTTGTCTGGGTCTCAGTCACTGCATGAACAGCCTGCAAAGGGACTGGCTGGGTTTCAGGAGGTTCTGACGGTGACCTCTCACCGCACTGAGATGCCAAGGCAGAACTCGGACCCCACCTCAGAAAACCCTCCTCTGCCCCCTCGCATTGAAAAGTTTGACCGAAGTTCTTGGTTACGGCAGGAGGAAGACATTCCACCAAAGGTAACACTATCGCTCCTCACTTTCAGCACGTCAAAGAGGCAATCCCGGAGCTAAGCCCCCGCGGGACAGTGCTGTGCTCAGCACCTCCGGCAAAGCAGAGTGGGCAGGACCGAGCCCATCCCCGTGGCTCCGCAGCGGGTACCGACCTGCCGGGGGGCTGCATTTCCCGAGGCAGGTTTTGCACGAGATGCTGGGAGCTGCTCTCGGGCGCAGACACAGGGCTGCAAAATAGCGTTGCCCTCCAGCAAAGAAGGTTCTCGAGCCCGGACAGAGGCCAAAGCAAATTAATTTCTCCTTTCCCTAGGATAAAAAACAACCTTCTGTTAAAATAGAATTATAGGAACATAAAATTTGTCATATTCGGTAAGACGGGTCCTTTTTAGTCCGGTACCGTGCCTCCAGTTGCAATCAATATTTGATGGAAGACTTGTAAAGGCTCCAGCAGCTTTATACTTTCATTGACATTTTGGCAGCGTGTGGCAGTACCTCTTTAATTAAGACTCTTCTGGACCAGTATTTCAATCGCATTGTTTATACACCTTCATTCTGGAAGAATTATAGCTTGGCCATTAAAGTTCCTCTTACAGTGAATCAGCGCTCAGCCTGGGAGGATTTTTACAGGGAAAAAATGATTACAAATTTATTAGTGACAGTGCGGCAGTATTTGTCCCTGATGGAAAGGCAGTATTTCTGTGTATTAACAAAGTAAGTGACTTGCCTTTTTAAAGAGCAAAATATCAGCTGTGAGCTAAGCCTCCCTGTGCAAGGGATCTACGGTGGCGTGTCAGATATGTTAATAATATTCCTATTTCTTCTGCCACCAAGTGATAAGAGCCATTGGTGCTTACTTAAGAGGAAAGGCAAGCCAACAGCTCCTGGAGTTGCTCGTGTGCTTTGCTCCTCAGTAGTGCAGAAGGGTGGCTGCCTGGTTTTAACCCAGTTTTGATAAACCCTGTGCAATTTCAGGTTGGCTTTTGCCTTGAGTCCTTTGAGAAGGGCATCTCATAACTGCAGTAACGTGCTACGCGGTGAGACCGCAGCACTTGCTCCTTGGTAAAAGGCTGTTTTCCAGCACTATGGAGTATTTTTCCCTCGACTGAGGAAACATGAACTGTGGAAGGGGTGCCCACCAGGTCACATTTAAGGCCGTCGTGTCGGCAGTAATACCCATGAGGAGTCTGACTTCACATTTTACTGCCCAAAGTGGGTTGGATGTGTTTGTAAGCGGGAACGAAAGGACTGCCCCGTGAGGCAGGGCCAGCCGTCTCTGTGGTCCGGGGTCTTGTTTCTGCCAGTGCTTACGGCTGGATGCTTCAGAGGAAGGTAAAAAGCTCCCCAAGTCCTGAGTGCGGAGTACCCTACCCGGAGGGGAGATTGCTTTTTAATTAGACAAGCTGTAGCTAGCGGTGCTGCAGAATGTAAAGCTCGCTCGCTCTCTAAATCTTTTTATCTTGCCTAACATAACTGCGTGTTTATTCTCAAAAAAAAGGCCTAATCCTTTTTTTGCTAATCCCACCAAGCCCTTGGCCTCTCTGTTACCTGGTGCAAGGTATTGCACGGTGAGTATCGTCGTGCCTCTCCACCTCAGCCTGCGCTGCCTGGCGACGAGACCACCACGCCCGCGGTGATGCCCGAGCTCCCACGGGACGAGGCAGGGCTCCGGGCTTATCTGCCGTCGCACCCGGAGGCTGCCGTTGGCTTTGGGTTTCTGCTGGTGCTGGTGAGCCATCCTGCTGGCAGCGGGGTCTTGGCAGTGGCATCCGAAGCTCAGCAAAGCTTTAGGGTTTGATTGCGAGCGTTAGGTGGTTCAATCTGGATCTTTCCACTGTCAATCCTCTTGTTTGTCCACCAGTCAACACCTTCTCTCTGCTGGTGCATGTTGTATCTGAACTAGAGATGCTAAAAACTCCACCATGGCTGCTGAAATGCACTTCAGTCTGAATTTTACCTTATAAGTTACTTTTCTGGGGTTTGTCGGATTTAGATTATGTATATGTGTGTGCGTACATCCAGCTTTTGAAAAAGTAAATGCCCTGTTTGATGGTAGCCGGGCGGCTCTGTGTGCTGCTCGGGGCTCCTCTGCTGGGAGCATCCCTGACCACGCCTTTGCAGCTCGTTTCTGTCTCACACCCAGCTGATTCCTTCTAAAAGCCGAGATCTTCGTGTTTTATAATTGCTATAAATATTGCATATCTCTCGTTGGGAAATTAATTGTAAGTCAAGTCTTCAGGCAGTGCTGAAGGGTGATCGCTCAGACGTGCCAACGGCCGCCTGACGTGGTGGGGCAGACTCGGTGACGGCGAATATCTCCGTTCCTTTCCAGGTGCCTCAACGAACCACTTCCATATCCCCTGCTCTGGCGAGGAAGAACTCCCCAGGGAATGGCAGTGCCCTGGGGCCCCGGCTGGGCTCCCAGCCCATTCGGGCAAGGTACGGACACCGAGGGGGACGGGCAGGAGTGCTCCCAGCGTGCTGCTGCCTGCGTTCCTCCTGGCATCGCTCAGCTGGGGAGCCCAAACCTGGGCTGGGGTTTAGCCCTGCTTTTGCTCGCTGGTAACAAGACGCGATTCGCAACGCTTCTCTTGTTGCTGGGATGAACTAGTTTTGCATTCGTTAGTATTTTGTCACAACAGCAAAGGCCATGAGCGCTTGGATCCCTGGAGGTTTTGCTCCCTGGGCTGAATACGTTCCTGGGCATTGCAGGGTTTGGAGGTGGGTGCTGCATCTGCTGTTGTAAGGTCCAACAGGAATTTGGGGGCTCCCCTTAGTGGAATTAGGTTCTGGTTCTCCCAGCGTCACCTCTTGCATATAAGGGGGTCCATATAAGCCAGTGGGGAGATGTCAGTGATACATACCATACATTTTCTACCGTCAGAGCAGCTTTTCACAGATAATGACCCAGGAATGTGCCGGGGGACAGACACTGATACAGCTTGGTGAGATCTTTCTTAGATGTAGATCAAGGATTAAATTCCTTTCAGCTTCCTAGGACTAGGCCCTTTAGCTTAGCCAGATCGAGCTCCTCAGCACAGTGGCGTGCAGGGCACGCTCGTAGCACCCTGAGGAAGGATGCTGCGCCGCATCTGACGTCTGCCGTGCCAGAGCTATCCATGCGCATGTTTAAAACGAGCAGGAAAGTTGACAGGCGCTGCTCAGAGCCGGATGGAAAAAATGTGGCTTAGTCATGCGAGAGCTTGTCTTTGGTTCACAGAGCATCGTGGGCAGATCTAGACCTCAGACAGGCAAATCTCAGGGTAAAGACGTGTTCCACGTAGCCTCGCGTGATGGAGCTCCTCGGTTCCTTCTTCCTGCCTTGTCATTTTAGGGTGAGGTCAAAAAGTGAACGCTGGGATGCTCATAGCCGTGTGCCGTCACCAGTTTTCAGCATACACCTTTCTTTCCAGCTCAGTGCCCCAGCCATGCATCAGCGACCTCACGTACAGCGGGCAGCAGCTTAGAGTAGCTGGCAGGGGTAGCAGAAGGAGGTGGAATCTTTTTTGTTGTTGTTGTTTTTTAAATTAGACAAAACCCATGCGTATCACGGTTGGTTCCTCTTTATTGCTCAAGGCTGAAGCATTTTGTATTCTTGAAAATGTTGTTCTTTTAATTAGCTGTTGCTAGAAGGACAATTTAAAATGCAGAGGGTTATTGGACTGCATGGTCCTAGTAAGTGATAGTATTGAAAGTAAAAAGGATAATGGGAGTCTGTGGGGTTCAAGTTGAAGGTTGCCCAGTGTTTCCTTCAGCCTCCCAGTCCCAGTCCTGGTTGGTACAGGTAAATACATTAATATTATTTTATTCAAATACATTTCTTGAATTAATTTAGCTAAGGACATGTCAGCTGTTTAAGGAGCATGAGCTGGAGGCCTTCAGTGTGATGAAAATTGGAAATGATTAGGATGCTACCATGTCCATTAAACTAAGTATTCAGTGAAATAGTTCCACATTTCATTTCTCTCACAGTAATGTAGCATTTCTCCAGTTTTCCTTTTTAACTACCTCTCCTATTGGTTCTTGGTTCCTCCCATGCGTAAATGTAAATATTATTAAAATACGCTTTCTTTTATTCGTTACGCTGTTGTAACAAATGAGGGGATATTTCCTTGCACACAGAAAGTCACTGTCTTGCTCTTATTTTAATACCCACCTGTGTCAATGCAAGATAACACTAAGCAGTGATTTTATATAATATCCATGCTAAGCAGGGTCCCAGCGATTCTGCCAACGACCCCATTACGGCAGTGGGCCTTTGCACAATTTGCACGATTGTGGTCGTTCTCCGAGGGATGCGGCGTGCACACTCCGCACACCTTGCACTTCATGTGCACACCCTCCAGTTGCAATTGCATTACGTCACGTGGCAGTATTACCACATCATTTTTATGTATGCGAGGTCCTCATGGGACTCGATGGAGAAAGCTTTGTATACATTTTTAATGGGACTTTGAATAATAAGATCACTTAACAGGTATATTGTATAAAACCAAATTGCAGAACTCTGCCTTGAACGTGTCTTCTGATGTCATTTCAGTGCCAAATAAGAATTAATTTCCTAAAGGCATCTGATACTCTGAGAGATATTAGTCACTTTTTGTCTATCAAGGATGCTTTTTATGCTAGGTTTATATATGTTCACAAGGGTGAAAGAAATCAAGGAAGAAAAGTGGGTACCTTATGCAGGTTTAAAGTGAAGCCATGAAAATTGGGAAGTGTGATTGAGTGGCAAAAGTGATCTGCAGCCTTGTTGCAAACTCAAGATCCTTTCTTCGCTGTAATACTTCTTTCTCTGTCTAACAGCAATTTGCAAATTCCTGCTTTTATGATGAATATTGGTAGTTAATTCAGGTAACTCCAGCATTGCACATCTACGGGTTGAAGGGGAGTTCTGAGCAAAGAACCTTCTAATTTTTGCCGAATTTGGCAAAATAAGAGTAGAAAGCTGCTCTAGCCGATTTTTCATCATGGTTGTGGTCCACCTCCATAAAGACGTTGAGTGCCTAATTCAGCTCCCCTGGATTTCAGTGGGGCTTGCAGGCTCAGTAGCTTCCAAAGAGAAGACCTCAGCCCTGTCTTCTCCGGCAGAGGAGATGTCTCCTCACCTTCCAGCTGTCCCCATCAGTGTGGGAAGGATCTGAAGCCCTGGAGGTGCATGCAGTACCATCTGACGGTGCCTCTCTGTTTTGTGCTCCCGCAGCAACCCGGACCTGAGGAGGACAGAGCCCATCGTGGAGAACCCACTGCAGAGGACCAGCAGCGGCAGCTCCTCCAGCTCCAGCACTCCCAGCTCCCAGCCCAGCTCCCAGGGCGGGTCCCAGCCTGGCTCCCAGGCTGGCTCCAGCGAGCGCAACAGAGTCAGAGGTGAGGTTCTTGGAAACGTCCCTTAGCACCGGGTGTGCTTTCTGAGGCTTGTCTGATAAGCAGGAAGGGCAAGAGGTCTGTGGTCTTACGTATGTTTTTTTAAAAGATTAAAAAAATCAAAGGATTCATCATTTCTGACGTACTTCTGCAACCAGCTGGCCTCCTTGCAAACAGAGATGCCGATGCTCCCTTTTGCCTGGGTGCTGATGTAGGATGCCCGCAGCAGCGTGCACTGCTCCTGCACTCTACTGAAGCACTGCACTGCCAAGTAACTTATCCAAAAGGAGATGGGGGTTATGCTGTAGCATTAAAAAAAAAAGAATACCAGCACGCTTCCTATTGTCATTGACCCCAGCTCACTTCTTCTGTGATGGTTTCTTTAGGATTGTGTTGCACTTCATGTGGGTATCTCTTTTTTCCCTTTTTTTTTCTGAGCTTCATCTTTGTGCAAAGCCTGAGATGGGAGCAGAGGAGTGAATTAGCCCATAAGAAGCTTTCTCTGAAATGCTTTCACCAGGCAGCCGTGCTTACCCTGGTTTTATGTTCCTAGCCAAATTGTTTCCTCTCATCTTAGAGCCACTCTTAAAGATATTCCATTCCCCCGTTCAATCGCAGTAGGAGTTGCTAAAGCCCATACAGCCCATACATCTGCATTTCTGGCACAGCCCCGCAGTATAAATCCCCAGGGCTGAGGCGCATTAAAACAAATGCTGCCTCCGTGCTCTGAATTTTTTATGACTTGGCCATAAGATGACATGTCTGTTGTCGAAATCGTCACTTCTCCAGGTAGTCAATAAAAGCAGTTTATCGCCAATTGTCCTTTTTGGTTTGGTTTGGGTTTTTACTAATGAGGAACCCTGTGACAAATCATGTCCTAGCAATGTCAGGTGCTGCAGAGCTTTTAATTTATCACATGCCCTGCCCTTTTGCAGATTGAATTTGTTTGTTTAGTAGAAAAAAGGGCAGTCACGAAGCGAGAAGGCTGTCAGTGGAGGCTGGGCTGGATTATGGTTTCTGTCGCTGTATGGAGGAACGCTCCATATAGTCAAGTAGAGAGGAGCAGGAGGATTTTTCGAGACCACAGAAGCAAAACGTAGTGAAACCTTACTAGCTGGACAAAAATTACCTATTTACAGGGCATCCAGTCCTGAGCCTGGGATGTCCTTGTGTGCTTTCACCACCATCTTCCTGCGCTTCATGGGCAAATAGCTGGGGAAGGGGCTGCCAGCACCCCGGCGCAAGGGGGAGGACGATGAAGCCCCCCACACCCACCCATCCCAGGCGATGGGATGCAGCGACGGCTTTCAGCAGCGTTGTAATTCCCGCTCTCTCCACTTGCCTTTCACCCAGGGAACGCCAAGCCCGAAGGGTCCCCTGTACTCTCCCACGAGCCCGCCAAGGTAAAGCAGGAAGACAACAGGGACGTGACGCGACCGAGCCGACCCGCTGTGAGTCTTAAATTATTTCCCATGGGGACGTTGCCAGCCAGCTTGGCCACGTTTCCCTTTGGTGCAGTAGCACAACCGTGGGGACCCCAAAAAAGAGGCTAGTACCATTGCTCATCCAGCGGAGAGACTGGAAAGCAGTGGTATGGCTAGAGCCCTTGGGAGATTTGAATGCTTAAGAGAGTGCATGAGTTTTTATCAGGAACCCAAGTCTAGGGGAAAGCACTTAAGCCTGTTTTCACGTGAAGCAGATGCTTAAGGGCTTCGCTAGCTTGGGCGCGGTGGTTGCTGATGGCACATTGTTGTGTTCCGTGCTGCATGTCCCCCCGCAGCAGCCCAGCGGAGGGATGCTCTGCTCGGGAAGGCCGGGTGACCAGCCCCCGACAGCCTTCACAGCTTAAAACCAAACCTGGTAGTGGTTTCTGTACACTCCCGTTCTATTATTCTGAGCAAAATCTCATCCGAAGTGTTTCCTCCTGGTTTAATGCTGTTGACATTTGTCTTTTAAAACTGCAGAGTCAGCCTAATAACAAAATGAATTTCCACTGCTTCTCTTTTTTAATGTGTATTAATGTTTTGTTGATGTTGGTTTTTCTCTCTACACTCCACAGCGTTGAGCTAACAATTCTAATTTTATTTCTAACCTGCTTGCCCTTCCTCTGGCTTTTTCCTGTCCCGATCTGTTTCCTCTGATGCTGATTATTCTTCCTTTACCCACAGAGCTATAAGAAAGCTATAGATGAGGTTAGTGATATCTTTTCTCAGTGGGTCATGCCTATGCAAGGTTGACTAGTTAGCGCTTAATATCGAACCGGGTTTTCTTGGTGCTGACATTGAAAAAGGTGGCGATGCAATCTTGGGTCAGATGGGAGACCGAACGATTGCGTTTCGGCGTAGGGAGCCTGCCCGCGGGGAGGGGAGCGGCGCTGCCGGTGTGTTCTGCTCAGCCGTGGGCTGCCTGAAACCCGCTGGCCAGACCACTTGCATGGAGGCCGTGGCAAGAAGCACCCCAACTTTCACGCGCGGAGCAAAGGGTGCTGCCGTTGTTCGGCGCATTTGAAAGAGAAGGAGTGAGAGCGGAGGTTTCTTGCGCAGGTGGAGGTGGTCGAGGCAGCCTGCACCACTCACCACATTCTGCTCTCAGCTACAGCCCCCGGCCGCCCACTGATTTCAGTGGGGCCATCGAGCGCTATTTGAAATGCATTTTAAGCCTAATTTGAACGAAGGCGCTTGGCAGATAAAGGAAAACAGAGCAGTGGAATACAGTGGGGAATTCATTCTCATGGACCAGACCATCAGCTGTAAAGCCAGTCAGCGGAGCTGTCTTGGATGTTGATGGGCAATGCTAGTCCTCATCCATCCTTTTAAAAAAAAAAAAGAGTCCTGAATCACACCTTTTTCACTATGTGATAATATTTTAAAAGCGTGTGCATCTGGTGATGGTGAATGTTTAAATGTTCATGGGAAGAGACCAAACATTCCTGATTGAGCATTTAACTTGCCTGACACGTGAATTGCTGTGCACACACTGCTCATACTGGTAACTGCGGGGCTGCAATGGAAAGCACCGGTATCAGCAGCCTCTCCTGCAGCCTCTTTCCTCTAAAAATAGAAGATATGAGAGAAGGAAGATGCGCTGGTTAGTAAACTGGTTCTCTTGGATAAAACATGAGCAATGCGTTTTGTTTAATGAGGTGCTTTGTTAAGAAAAAAGCACATAAATCAGAGTCTAAATAGAGGCAGCGCGTGTGTGCTAAATTCAAGTTCAATGAGCTATGTGATTTTGGAAACCAATCTGACTTGATTCTAGCAAATATTAAATCTCAAGAAGTCTTTGTAATTAGAAGTAATTAAAGAGCACTGATACTGCTAACTTATGTATTATGTCACCCTCACTAATAACATTTCAAACACATGTGGAACTACAGAGCACTTTCTTTCTAGTTGTCAGATTGGTTTTGGTCCAAGAACAACTCAGTGAAGCCGTTTAATCCTACAAAGTGCTCATTACTTAGAGAAAATGGTAGCATCAAAGAATTAACCATCCCGAGGCAAAGCTTTAACTAGGAAATACGAGTTATCTGATGATATTGTCTGGGAGTATTATTGCTGTTATAACTTCCAAATTAGTTATTAAAAACTAATTAAGCTGATTTTTCAAATACTTGACTATCTTCTAGTGATGACCAAAGAAGGTTGGTAGGGTGCCTTGAAACACGTTAGAAATGGAAGGTGCAAAAAATAAGTAATTTTCACGGTCCATCGCTGTGATAGGGAAGGGTTTAGTGCTAGACCTGCACTGCAGGAATTTCAGCTGCAATTTTAAGAGGCCCTGATGCAGTCCTAAAGTCCTTTTTAAAGTTGAGAAAGCTCTAAGCCAACTCAAAGGCAAGTGCTCAATAAAGAGCGTATTTTATACTGTAAATTTTATAGTCTACATTGTTAAGCTGTTCAAATTTTCATTGATTCTTATTTAGGTAAAGAAGCAATCATATGATAGAAGCTGCTGCAGCACTAATTAAAATAATTTGTTGTCATGACTGCAGATTTGACTGCATTTCAATCGCAAAGATGTTGGCATTGAAAGTAAACTCTTGTAATAACCACATTCTCTCTTTAACCGTGATAAAGAGCCTTTCTTTAAAGGTACAGAGAACGTTTGGATTTGGAGAGGGATATATACTACCTACCCATCACAGGTACCTGCTGGGAAGCAGGGATTGATCCTTTCGTTAAAAACCAAGCTTTTTTTGGTATAGTAATATTTACAGGTCTGATGCAAAGCCCTCTGATGTCCATGGGAGTCTCTGCTCTACGTCAGAGGGCAGGCAGGGCAGGCAGGCAGGGCAGACCTGGGAGCAGAATGTGCGGCTGTCCACCGGTGGGAGCCCGCTGGGAGGTGTGGGTCACCAATAACCAAAGTACAAATTGCTTGCAAAATATTCCTGCTTCACGATTAAAAAATAAACTGGGTTTGCATCTCAGCCATAGAAGTTTTCCATCGTTTTCTTCATGTGTCGACGGGATAGATTTTAAGAGCTCCCTTTGCAACCGTAATTAATATTGCTGTAGTCGCCCTGCTGGAACGGTAAACTGGAAATGCAGTAAATGAGAGTATGGCCATAAGACAATTGTGGAATTTAGTCTTTTTCAATGAGTTTCTTTCTCCCTAATCCTTTATCTCTGACCGAATGCACTGATGCCTACCTCGGTCACTAATATAGGGAGAAATGGTAAGACTGACAATTGCGATGCTTTGTTCGTCATGTGCATGTCTTGTGCAACAGAGTTCTCTAACCCATTCTAATTCGAGCTCTCATGCTTTTCTGCCCTACTGCTTCCCCCTGCATTGCTATAAAAGCATGTAAGATAACAAAAAGTCTCTTTTCTACACGGTGCCTGCCATGTTCCTTGTTTTGAAATAGCAGTGTCTATTTTATATGACTGTCGGGTCTGAGGCCTCATCAAAGTCATGGTAAACTGAAAAATTATTACTAGGCTTTGGGACTGCTCCTATCTTTTTTCTTGTTTCAAGGCTTTTTTTCTTTTCTTTTTCCCCTTAGCTTGTAGGCTGCCACATTTCACATAAAGTGCTTAATGGGTCCCACTGAGGGATGGTTTTGGGGGGCTTTTTTTTTTTTTTGATTGTGTGGCTGACTCAGAGCTGTGACTCCAAAGTCTGGCTGAGCTGGGCGCTTCTCCTCGTGCTCCTCACCGCCTCTCGGCAGCCGCCCGACGGCCCAGACTCACCACGGAAGCAGCTCTTGACGGGGGATTGCACCACTCCATGGGAGATGCTGTCATTGCTTCCTTCCCAGATGCATTTATTACAGAATAAATACAATTATGGGGTCTCTTTGAGAAGTTTGAAAGAAGAGAAAACCCTGCAGGAGAAATTCTCCGAGCCAATCTTTGAAATGGCGTTGTTTTCCAGTTTACTATGATGGTGACTGAACTTCACCTTTTCCAACAAATATAATTTTGTCGTGTATATACATATAAGTGTGTGTATATATATATGCACATACGCGTTCCAAACAGAAAAAGAAGAGGTTGGCTATTGATTTTTCAGTGAGCGTAAATCAGTTTTGTTTTGTTTAATAAATGCTACATGCTACAAACATTGTCTTACATTCGTCTCATGTTTGTAACGACTCTGTAAAGCTATTTCTTGTTGCTCGTGCTGTTAGCATTGGCTTTTGAAGAGATGTGTGTGACGTTCTTCTCACTTTAAATATAATAACCATCGCTTTCTTGTTTTCTTGCCCCCATCCCCTTTAGGATCTGACGGCATTAGCCAAAGAGTTGAGGGAGCTGCGCATTGAAGAAACCAATCGCCCCCTGAAGAAGGTGACGGACTACTCCTCCTCCAGCGAGGAGTCGGAAAGCAGTGAGGAGGAGGAGGAGGACGGGGAAAACGAGACGCACGATGGGACCGTGCCTGTCAGTGACATCCCACGGCTTATGTAAGAAGCGCTTTCTTTTGGGGGGCAAACTGTGAAGGCGCGGCGTGTCTTGGTCTGGAGGAGCCGTAGCTGTGATACGGGACATGTCCAAAGCGCGTCGGTGTTCGGTGGCTGGCACTGGGAACGGCGTCATGGTTGCAAGGGGTAATTTACTCAGATGGGTCTTTTTCCTGGTCCAAATTAGAGATACTTAATGGGAAAAACTGAATTATTTCCACTGCATATTCAGTGAACTTGGACTCCAAGC